TCCCCTCATACTAAGGCTGGATAGGGCAACCCAGTAGGAGGAAAAGGGTCCCAAAAGCAGGCGAAAGAGTCTGAGTCAGACCCCACTCCCACTGTGAGGAGTCCCACAGGAACACCAAGCTATGTGAAAGCTATAGGTCAGTCCCATACAGGCTCCCTGATTGTCGATTCGGTCTCTATGGGTCCCTGAGAACCTTGGTCAGTTGATTCTGTGGGCTTTTTCGTATGGTGACCTTGACCCTCTGGCTCCTATAATCCTTCCTCACCCTCTTCTGCAGGATTCTCTGGGCTCTGCCTAATGTTTGGCTGTGGATCTCTGCATCTGCTCCCATCAGTCGCTGGACGAAGCCTCTCTAATGACGATTATGCTAGATTCCACTCTACCAGTAGAGCAGAGTATCATTAGGAATCATTTCATTGACTTTTTTTTTCTTTTTTGCTGGTCCTGTTTGGGTCTATCCTTGGTCTCTGGGCTGTCCTGTCTCTGGTTCCTGGCCCTCCAGGCAGTGTCAGGATGGGCTCCCTCTCCCAGCGGCGTGGGTCTCAATTTGGACCAGTCACGGCTGGCCACTCCCACCATTACCCCAGCATGCTTTGCCGCCAGGTCCAACAACAATCGTAGGTCGAAGGGTTTGTGGCTGAGTTGGTGTCCCAGTCCCTCCACTGGAAGTCTTGCCTGGTTACAGAAGATGGCCAGTTCAGGTTCCATATCTCCCATTACTAGGAGTCTTTGCTAGGGTCACCCTTGTGGGTTCCTGGGAGTTTCCATTGCATTAGGTTCCTACCTTGCCGGCAAAATGCCCCCCAATTCTAGTTGTCTCTCCTAGTACTCTCTCCCCCCCCAACCTAATCCTTCCTGTTCCCATCCTCCCTTCCCCCAGTCTACCTGTGAGGGGCATTGTTTATTATGTCTTGCTACACCATTAGTATCCGTTGGTATCCTCAGTATGACATTTGACATTTTATGAAAAACAATGCTTATATTATGTTCCCCAGTCCCCTTTATTGGAAATAAGATTTTAAAGATTCAAGAAACTAGTAAAAAGCAAAGCAGTCCTTAATATAAAATTCGTAGAAAGGGACAGTGACAAAAAGAAAGGCAGCATGGCATGTGCCTGGATGTAGCTTTCGACGGTGGTGGTTTTTGTTTGTTTTGTTTTTGTTTTTTTTCAAGCCAGGGTTTCTATGTATCTGCTCTGGCTATCCTGAAACTCCCTTTGTAGACCAGGCTGTGTCCTGGAACCTGCTTTGAAGACCAGGCTGTCCTGGAATCCAGAGAATCGCCTGCCCCTGCTTCCCAAAGACTGGGATTAAAGAAGTGAGGCACCGTGTCCCAACAAGATGGTAGTTTTTAAAATCCTTGGACTGGGAGAGATTTCTGTCCTCTTCTCCTATTGGTTCGAAATTGGATGCCCAAACTCCAACTCCCCATCTCATTGGGCGAGGACACAAAGCCTCATCCAATGAAGAATTTGGGGCTTGAGCCTGCCCCTCCCCCATTCTGATCTTTTTTTTTTTTTTTTTTTAAACAAGCCTTAAGCAGGGAGAGGAGAGGGAGGGCCCTAATGCCCCCTTTAACTTTCAACTCTAAGCACATCTCAGGTTGAAAATGGACTGTAACGATCTGTTTCTCACCCTCAGACAAGGTGAAAGGTTAAGGAATTTAATCGATAATTGGCACTCTGGATTTTAAAATGTATATTAACCCATCTCTCCCCAAAAATTTCCAGTGAAGATTGAACTCCACTCAGTAACATCCTAAAACAAAAATGACCCCCTGAACCGAGGACTCGTGACACGGCTCAGTGGGTAAAAGGGTCTACTGCCAAGCCTGAGGACTGGAGTACAACCCCCGGACCCAGCAGAAGGAGAACAAACAAGCTGTCCTCTGAACACACATGAAAGAAAGGAAGGAAGAAAGAAAGAAAGAAAGAAAGAAAGAAAGAAAGAAAGAAAGAAAGAAAGAAAGAAAGAAAGAAAGAAAGAAGGAAAGAAAGAAAGAAAGAAA